ATGCATTAAATAGATACAAGCGAGCTGTCCCGACTTCGCAAGGGAGTAATGCTGATACTCAATATACATATAAACGCGTGCGATTACTGCTAAAGTGCTAAAGGCGAAGCGCGGCCTTTGACGCGCTATTTATGTATCGCCGGCTCCCCGGCCGGTACCGCCCCAACCGTCATGTCCCTGCATTTTAAGTCAGTAATATCTTCGGCGATATTCAATTACATGCTGTAAAAGGCCTTATTGATCTACATTCAATGTGAATGAGCCATTATTGTGGGTTATACCTGAGAGATAGGACTTTTTTGTAGACCTTTTTGAGTTTCTGGTCACCTGGTCTCTCTATCTCTCTCTCCTTAGTTTCGATATTTGGTCTTATCGTTCTGTATCTTTTATCCACCACATATGAGGCTTTCAAATATATTTTTGGCATTGAATATGGTATTTGTTTCACGTGTACACAGAAGTCTTGAATTTTCATATCTTACACAAAAAAGAGAGTGTCTTCTGCATTGCAGTAAATACAATGTGAAGATACTGCTCTCATACCGCGATCATATATACAGTGTGTAAAAGCCAAATCAAATAAATTATTATTTAGGTTACTGTACATATTTTAAAAAATCACGAAACACGTCGAATGTAAATTATAATTTGACATACTTCAACTTGAAAATACCACCCCTCAAAAACTAAAATGTAATGAAAAACGTAATGAAATGTTGAATACGAAAAAGAACTATAGATGTTAACGGAATAGATGTTCAGAATGTTCACGCGAACGTCTTGGCAACATCCTAATCTCAAATAATCTCTTCTAACATTATTTAAAATGACCGACCTAATCGCAAGCGTTATTCGTTCTTTCAAGTCATTCAAATTTAAAGATTTAGTTTTGTACACATTGCTCTTTATATATCCCCATGAAAAGAAATCTGATGATGAAAGATCAGGTGATCCCGCTGGCCATTCAATTGATTCTCGCCTCCCTATCCACCGATTGGGAAATGTTGCATCGAGGTATTGCCGGACATTAACTTGGTAATGTGGTGGTGCTCCATCCTGCTGAAACCATATATCGTATTAACTGGAACTTGGGGGTTTCCTGGATCATGATATGAATTTGCTAAACTTGAAATAACATTATTTTGAAGTAGTGCAAATAATTATCGCCATTCAAGTTGCCCTCAATGGAAAAGGTACCAATGATATGCTTTCCTACAATTCCTGCCCAAACATTAACCTCTTGAGGGTATTGCGTATGTTCTTCTCTCAACCAGTGAGGATTTTCCGTTGACTACTAGCGGTCATTTTGTCGATTAGCATGACCGTTAAGAGACAAAGTACATCCATCAGAAAACATAACGTCTTCTAATTGGATGATAATGTTATCCAACATGCCCATCATCTGCTCACAAAAATAAATTCTTCTTTCAAAATCGTCTTCCATGAGCTCCTGAGTATGTATCATTTTATAGGGATGCATTTTATTTTCTTCTAATATGTTTACTATCGATGTATGGCTAACATTGAATGTAGTGGATGCCTGTCTTCTCGATGTATGTGGGTTTTCCCCAAACTCAAGCATCACATCTAATTTGAGTTCATCACTCATTGCATGCAAGCTCGCTTCTCTATGTTGTTTATTGTTCCTTGAGATATGTGCGATGAATTAGGAAATTGTTAAAATATGTACCGTAACCGAAATAATGAATTTATTCCATTTGGCTTTTACACACTGTATATTTACGAAAAGAGCCGTGTCCCGATTGTACCTGGTCGAGGTAATAGTCCTCCTCCCCAAAGTTTCGATTCAAACTCTCTATTGCAGGTATTAATCGGTATGTCTATCTACCGTATTGAACAATGTCCCATTTTTGTTGCCAGTTATTTATTAAATTTTCCCTGGCGATTCCCTTGGAAATGCCTGCATATCGCTCTTTCCTCTCGATGATTCGGAGCTCTATTGGTGGAATTTCAGCAATAACACATGCTGCACCTATCAATCACTCACTGACCCACAAATGGCAGTTGCTAGTACCACCTGCTGAGATAGCGATGCGGCAGCAGAGGCATCGTGGAGTTGCTTCCGAGCCTTTCGTCGATATGATTATCCAATCAACATCGTCGCCACTATCACTTAACATCAGATTGTTTAAGGCCACGTGATCCCTTTACTTATTCATTCAATTAGGAGAAAACCTTCTGAAATTCATGGCCAATGGAAAAATGAGACGGACTCGCACAAACAGAAAGTGTTTCGAAACGATTTGGGTCAAGATCGTTCTTTTCCGGGCGAACTGTGGATCATGGAGGTTGTATTCGATGTGTTTGGTGTATTGGTGCCGTCAACAGATGATATTTATTTCGAAAAATTCCAAATCATCAATTATTATTCCATTCTTCCTCTTAGTGAATTATTTTCTGATGAATGAGATCAGACACATATATTTCATTAAATTTGGTAACAAGGTAATCTCATGATAGTTGGGTCATTCATCAAGTTTTGGGTATTTGAATCGTGAATTCCTGGATACTCGTGTGTTCATTTTTTTTTCAGTGAATATATTTCTATCCATTATCGGTACAGGAGAGTACAAGTAGGATAAAATCATCAAAAAGTCTCAATGGACTGATACCTATCAGGAAACAACTACTCCCCTGGCTAATACCACGAAGGGTGTTGGATTATATCCGACAGGTGTCAGAAGTCTTCACAGAAGTATTTCCAACATATGCTGTTGACAATACAACTGCCGGAATCGGTTTTCAATTATTGGAACGGACACACTTGCAGACTGGTTTCGGGCTATTTGACCTATCGTCACTGCAAAGTAGTGTCCATCATCAGCATAAAGTCGATGATTTTCTATAATTGAGAATCGAATGTGAGATATCTCATCAGTACCAAGAATTCTTCGACCAAAATCACGGATATACTTCCAAGACTCTGAAACAAGGACCTCTGAAGTTTTGTGAGTAGATTTCCTTCGTTATTCAGGTGAAATTAAATTTCTCACTGCTCACCAAACTGTCAAAGATTCTTAGATTCTCTTAGTTGATTTCTTTCATTGAATTTGGTTATTTACTTATCATTAATATGAAGGCATATTCATTGTTACTGAGTTGCAAACTGAAGTTTTCGTACAGTACTCAGAACTGTAAGATATGACCAATATGGATGAAGAAACGAAGTAGACGATTGTGTAATGCATATCGGAGAAGATGACGATTAATTAGTCAATCAGTCACATTTAGACAGTCAACTGCTAGAAGATAAATACAATAAGAATATTGTATTTTATTTCGAAAGTGAATATCTGAAGTCTGGACACTACAATTAGCGACGAGGATTAAAAAAATACATTCAAAGATCAGCCAGGGGCTAAGAAACAACTGGCAACATGAATTATCGGATTACCAAATCATGTACAACAGTACACCCCATACACTAACTAGCAAAATGCCTTGAGAAGATATTTCATGAAAGACAATTCAGGTATTTATAGTGATACGCTCACCGAGTATGGACGTATATTTAAAAAGCTCCGTGTTCTAAATATAAAACACAAAAACAATAGAGCATCAAATTGTAGTTTTCACACAAAATTAAATTGCTAGTTAGTGCAGTGTCCTAAGGAAAGATATAAACTGAAGATATAAACTGAAGTGTAAGTTTGAAGCTGAAAAGTGCACTTTAACCATCAGCACTACACCACAAACCAGTTTTTCTCTACAAAAAAAACTGTACGATTTCATAAAAATATGTGCTATGGAATGTATAGGATATCTACTGAATACCACTTTTTCTGACCAACAAAGAAAACAACAAATTGTCTAGATCTACAATACAGGCCAGAGAGTTTTAGCGAGTCCTACACGATAAGACAGGATAGTAAAAATACAGGCCAGAAATAAAATAGAGCTGAAATACTACTCCTAATAATAATGAATGATATATTAGTGAAACAAATACTGGATGAAATTAGAAGCAGTAAATTGGAACTAAAAAATAGTATTGAAGCTAGTGAAGCTAATATCTTAATATCAAACCCAAACAACTTGAGGAAGAAAATCGATCACTGAAAGAGAACATTGAAGTACTTGAAAAAAGAGGGAGACAAAATAACATCATTGTTTTTGGATGGTCTGCCCCTAACGAAAAAATCACTCTAGATTTCATCTGTTCCGAGTTCAATATTATGCTGAATGTAAATGTCAACAAAACTGATGTAAATAATTTCTATCGTCTAGGGAGAAGTGAAAATAGACCAGTAAAATAGAGTTTGTTTCGTATCTGAAAAAAAAGAAATTTTAGAGAACTGTAGAAAACTGAAAGGAAGCAGCATAACAATATCCCACGATCTCACAAATCAACAGAGACAAGAATACCAAACCCTAAGAAAATACTTACTTCAGGAGAGACAAAAAAACAAAGATTGTTATATAAAGGGTAACAAACTCGTTATAGAAAAAAAGGAATTTTCCATAGAAGAACTGATTGAATTGGATATTCAAGAAGTAAAAAAAGCAAACTGTGCTCCAGCGACCCCGATACAACCACAAGATACAAACAGAGGTGATACAAAAAAAACTGAAGAGAACAAATATACACAACACCAGAAAAATACACATCAGACCAAAACTAACAAACAAGCTGAAAACATCCCCGAGGATAAAGCTGCAGATAAGTCAATAAAACCTTTTTATATGTAGCAACAGCCTTCACGAAACTTCAGATAGACTGTCACAAACTGCTTGTATTCTGATGATATGTCGGCGAATAACGCCGACATTTCACTAATAACAGTTCCGGAAAATCGTTGAAGAGCACAAGTTGGAATCATTCTGGCTCTGTTAACTGCAAAGAACTATTCAATACTCACGATGATTCGAGAGTATAGAAAACAATTAAAATGTTGATGAATGTAACCGTTAGTACGTGGTAAGAAATCATAATGATTTCAGAATGATCAGGATCAGGATTTTTTAATAAAAATTAAGGATTGAGAAAACTCATAAACTATTTATTAAACCAGTCAAATATTCGAAGAAACAACTCCGAACTCATTTAGAGGTAAAGTCCATGAACTCCATGGGCGGCATAAACTGCTGGGGCGGAGTAGACAGCGGGGGCTGCGACAGTCTTGCTGGTAGCGATAGTACCGGATGGACCAGCAACTACTGTGTCAACAGATCTGTGAGCTACTACACCACTGGCAACTACTGACGGAGCCGCATGAGCAGACACCAAAGGGGGAGAGTAAGCAGATACTACGGGGGTGGAGTATGCGCTGTAAGCGGGAAGAGCATAGGCACCGTGGGTAGCATAAGTGGACACTACAGGGGCTGAGACTACTGGAGCTGCTTGAGCGACATATCCTGCATGATTTTCAGCGATGATTTTTCCTCCTGGAGCTACGGACGAGATCACGCTGCCGTCAGGTCCTGCTATTGTAGCTCTTGCGCTTGGTCCTTGGATAATCCTTGCTGAAGGAGCAATGACTGAAGCGCTAGTGGCTGCCAAAGCGGCGAAGAAAGCTACAATTACCTACAATAAAATAATACCAATTCGATGTAGGTACAAATGAAAAATTCAGAAGCGGTCGGATAATGAGAATCTATGTAAAACAGTATACTAGTTTGATATCAACAATTTTCAAAACTATTCATTTTTGCAATACTATTTTCTTGAGAACTCTATCGCAACTGAAGCGGATTTCATCTGAAAATCATATGGAAATATTACAGAAAAATTCGAAAAGTTTTCAACGCAACCATCAAGACATTGTCCTGTCTCTCTTCTTTATCAAGTCTGTCACTTAGTCACAAAGTGGATGTCATTAATTCAATGTGACAATTGGATTTTCAGGTTAACACTAAACATACTATCTGATAATAAAACTTCCTTATTTCACTTCCTGGTGGGATATTTTACACGCAACACAATACATATTGCGTGTATCCCACGTAGGTATGCATGTATTATGAAATACGCGTATTTCATTATGAAATAGTGTAGTAGTATTAGTGTAAGCTATTGTATAATTAAACACGCATTGAGGTTTTGTAAACTATTTGGTGAAAATATTGCAATAAAGTGTTAGTTGAATATCAAATAACGGTCAACTTACATATTTCAGTAAAAAAATAAACACTATTCTGCATAAAGTTGTGAGAAATTATGTAGTGTATGAACTATGCAGCAATGTAATTTTCTTCAAATTTTGGAATATGTTACCCTGACCATATTCGAATACTCCAAATAATCAGGATGAAAGCTCATTGTGATCAAAATCGTGAAATGAATCAGTTCATATAATATGAAAGGTGTTATATATGACAACCGACAATACAATACGTAGAAAGACGATGGAATGAACATATTCATGTCATTGTTGTTCAATCCTTAAATGAATCGTGTAAACAAACCAATTGAGTATATCCTACTTCTTCAAATATTTTCTTCTGCAATCTCATAATTTATTTCATTGCCGCACTACTTACCAAGGAGTTCATGATGCTCTGAATGGTTTGGGATTAGCTGAGTCAACAACTGATACAATTTCCATTAATTTGTGACAATTTATACTTGGTCCACTTGGGTTCGACTTCAACCTTGCCTACACCCGAATCTATTTCAGCGTTCTTAATCCGGAATCGTTTTCTTATCTGTTCTGCATCTTGAATAATAATGAATTCAAGGCGTTTATTTTCAATTTTTATTATAGTATGTTCAAACAGTGGAATTTATAGAAAAATATTGACATTTAAAAAAACATCAGGAAAATAGATTGTTGTCACCTGAAAAAACAATCCTTCCATATGAAGGTAGATAAGCGCATTTTCCTAGCGCTGGATTTTCTTTCGACCTACGAATAACCCAATAAAGTATGGTACCAAATTTTAATTTTTTCCAAACACACCTGAAAGTGGGGTCAGTTGGTTCTGAAAATATCGAAAAAATGTTTAAAAGTGTTTTTCAAATAAAGTTTCCAGTTCATATGCAACATTTCATCCGCATCAGATGATTTTGGTTTTTTTCCCTTTTTTGTTAAAAGACTCATAGGGTAGTATGTGCCTAAAAGTAATGAACGGCAGTATCAAGGAAATAGTTCGACTGAAAATAGTTCGTAATAGACTGAGAAGTGAAATTTTATGGGTTTTAATTTTTTTCAAATCATGAATTTTCCTATTAGAAAATGTATCTCTATTCAGTTCCACTATTCTCTTTATATTGACGTGTATTACTACCACACACAAAATACTTTAATGGACGGAATTGGAAACGCTGAAAAAACTATTTTCTATAGATACAATTTACCTTTTCAAAAATGTATATTTCATGAAGTCATCTCATACAAAGTTGAATAGAAATGAATTCTGAATCCCATGTTAGCAAATTTTCATAGCTCTCTTCAGATTTTATAAAAAAAATATATTTGATATAGCGCTAATTGCAAAAAAACGTGTCTGAAATAATGCATTGTCATAACTTAGCAGTTTCATAAATATTACACTTTGGAATTTGTTCCGTGAAAAAACAGAAAAAAAAGCGTTGAAGAAATCATTTTGCCTATTGATATATCAAAAAAATGATTTCTTTTCACAAATGTTATAATAAAATACCATTTTCGCAACTAACGATCGTAGTAATTTACACTTGGTTCAATTTCAACAAAAAAAACCTTTTTATGTGAGGCATAGGTACTCTTGCTTTTATCTTATTATAGTAGGAAAATAATAGTATTGGCCAGGTGGAAATGACTAGCTCTTTTGTTTGCGGATGCAAGAACGCAGGTTAGTTGTCAATTTTTTCATAGAAATTCAATAAAAAAGGAATTACAGCTCACTCCAGACCTTTTATGGAGATTTGAATCCCTGACGTTGAAATGAATAAAGGATTGAACAATAGACTATCAATATTGAATATAAACTGTCACTATACAAAGAATTCAGACTGTCAAAGTTCTGAAACTTTCTACTACTTCCAATGGATGCTCCAATGGAAAAGGTAACTCTCCTCCAACTATATATTATCCTCTGATTTTTGAGATCCGATACTCCCGGCAGTTTCAAGCAATAGCCACCTCGGACATATATGTTACAGTGCAGTCAGACACGTCATAGACGATAAAACCTCTGAATATTCAACGTACCCCACGTTCGTCGATTTTGTCATGGTTTCAAATTTTTTCTATGTCACCGTTGTGTCCAATTCATTCCTTTTTTATGGTTTCAGTTGTTTTCATGCTTCAAGCTGCTTCAACTTGGCCAAACCTGTGAGTTTAAATTAACAAATTCAATCGCAATTTTCCTAGTATATTTTTATGTGCAAAATATCATTTTGCTGTCAATAATCCAGAGGAAAAATTTATGTTTTCCATTTTCTGAAAAGATTCTACTTGTTTTTATAGATTACATGCTAGTATTATCGTCGCTGATTTGATATTTCAAATTCTGCTCAAAAATGATATTTTATGATCAATACTCTCAGAATAATCAATTGCCACCCTTTTGATACAATGGTAAATGTAATAAGATAATTTTACCCAAATCTCTCAAACAAATTATCTTACCATTTACTCATTTGCGATCGGTATATGGAACATTATGGTACAGTCGAAGTAAACGATATTGTGCATACTTAAATTTGTTGGTACTCTCAAATGCAAAAAAAACCAATACATAAAACTGAACCGGCTGCGAACTAGTTCACGCGGAACGTAGAATTTTGCGGTTCATATTGAATAATTTTTACTAACCGAGTTTTATGATCGGCTGAAGAGTCATAAAATCAAATTTCAATGCATGTTACGGTGACGAAAAGAAATCGGGAATGCGGAAATGGTTATCGCCGTTGTGTTCAGTTCAGGAACTGATCGCGATTTGAGTGTTGAAATTCGATATTGATGCAGTTATAATTTCTTAAAATTTTTGTTGTCTTTCAAAATGTGGCGTCCTTAGATAAGTACTAGTAGTACTAACGAGTGTGATAACAACGTAGGCTTTTTCCAGTGTAGTGATTCCAATAGCGATGGCGAACAATTCGAATAAGTGAATAAGATTCGGATCCATTTGAATATTGAAACACAGAGAGTATGTTTCAATGTATATAACAATCTACATCTCAAGTTTGGTTTCGAGGAAAAGAAAATATTACAAGGAACATCAGATTTGATCAAAATTTCTTTCTCAACTGTACGACAAATCTCATGAACGCAAGACGCGATGTGATGCAGGATTACCAAAACCTTTAGATGTTCATCTCATACAATCATTGAAAAAAACAATATACGACTGTTACAAAAGCAATGAGCTTCCTACAACTGAAATTATTGTGAAGAAATTGAATACTTCCGGCCATAACGTGAGCTGCTGTGACACAACTCTTCAGAATTGGATAATAAAACTAGAATTTCGATTTAAAATAATAATCAAACGTCAAGCAGTTATGGAACGCAGAAGAATTGTGGAATTGCGTAACAAATACATAGAACAAATAACTAAATATAGACAAGAACAACGGCAAATTTTCTATTTGGACAAAACTTGATATGACACTAACGACACAGTTACGAAAGGGGCGACTGATGGTTCAAGAAATATATTTTTTAGAAAAGGGGAGTAAATTCGTCTTCGAGAATATTCACCATATTTCGAATATTCACAATACCATTCGTGTTGTTTGCAAAAGACTGATTTTTTTAATGATTTTTCTGATATTGACATGAATAGGTTTGATATAAGGTTTGCTTTATCCATAGGAATCATGAGAACCAAATGTCCTCAATTTGTAGAGTGAGCTTCTTCAATTCACTGCTTTTCTCAACTGATATCTGTTTATTCCAAATTTCAATTTCTGTTATGCAGTCTCCTCTTTGTACTTATGATGAACTGTTTGGAACCTTTGGTGTAGTAATGAATATTACTGCAGTTTTTTCCCAATACCAAATCGTTATTTTTAACACCTCGACACGTGTTTCGATCACCAAGTGATGATATTCAAAGAGGAAGATTAAAAATAGAAACTAATGCGAGAGTGTAGAAGTAAGTAAACACAATAATATTATGAATAACGATGACAGATCTATACCAAAGAGCATACTATATAGCTTGTTAAAATAAAATAATGTTGGGTTTACTGATTACTACATAAGGACACATTGCAAAAATGAATTTGGATAGGCAATATTGTGAAATTAATTTTTATATAGGTGAAAATTGTTTTATATAAACATATATTGAAAAATAATAGATAAGGCAAAATTGTAAAATTAATTTAGGTGGGTATACCTGTATGGGTGGTACGCATGGATGGTTTACCTGTACGGAATACCTATATAGCATAAATAGGGTTAGCTCGCATTGGTTTCTAGTTTTAATCTTCCTCTTTGAAAATGATCACTTGGTGATCGAAACACGTGTCGAGATGTTAAAAATAACGATTTGGTATTGGGAAAAAACTCCAGTAATATGAATCTCCTCTTTGGATCATATTCTGTAGTAGTCTCTCTGTTTCCTGTATTTCGATCGCTATCAGGCTTGCAGATTGACTGTAGTTTCGTCCTATAAGGACATTTTCAAAATGTTCTTATAGGACAAAATTGCAGTAAAGTTAGTTACAAATACAAGTGGTAAAAAAACATTGAAGTTTTGATTTCTCATTTTTTATGATAATCTCTACCATGTAGTAACGGCTACATCCATCAATTTGATGTTACTGGTAACGTGGAGCAATTTGGACATTGGTTTCTTAATAATATATGAATGAAGCATATAACGTGATGTTTTCCTCAATTCAACATTTTCCAGCTACCCGAAATTGTTTGAAAATGTTGTTACATATCTTCTTTTCAACAAAAATAATATACGGACACAGGCATTCTGAATTTTTTGCATCCTGAAAGATGTTTTTAGATCCAACTAAAAAAGATACACACTAGCTAGGATTTCCAACATCTAGCTAGTGTATACTATGTGAAAACTATCACTCGGTTTCGAATTTTCTTCAAGAAAGAGAATTCTCAATTTCAAGGATATGAAAACCCGCAAATGCCAAAAATAACAGAATGCTCCAAAATTATATCAAATGAGAAATAATTTAAGGTGGACCTATTCGAAAATACGTTTTTCTTGCCAGAAGATAATTATTTATTTATTTATTTTCGAATATGAAAATAATTATTCTTATGAAAATGTCAATACAGTCTAAATCATAAATATTATTCTAATATTTATACGTGAAACAGTTACATTGTATCTACATACTACATAAAGCCGAATTGAAGGAAAAAACATAGTTATTCTAAACTTGAACAGTATTTTTTCACACCACTATAAACTTGTTTCGGAGGAAGAACAAAGTTGATATCTGACATTAACAGGCAGTTGTTTGTTATTTTGATCATTGTAATGATAGGTGAACAGTTATTTGTTGATACATATGGTACATCAAAGAATTGAATTAGTATTGTTGTTCTTTTGGGAAATCTCTCTTTCAGTAAAGATTTGAGATTGGGACAGTTTAATTTTTTTTGAGCAATCTAGAGTTGTTTTCACTTATATTATTAGTTAACAAGGAGTTCATGATGTTTTGAGTCGTTGAGGATAAACTGAATCAACAACATATGCAAGTATTACCGATTTGTTATAATTCATTCCTAGATCACTCAGGAATCCAGGTGATCCTTTGAACCCAACACCAAAAAATTTGTTGTTCATTCTCTAAGTGGAATAAATCTTCCATCAGTACTTCTTGAATGATGATTGTCAGATGAAAGACTGTATTTTTTGTTCACTTTCAGTATCGAATAGAATATGTCTGTGATTGATGAATGTTAAATTGTTTACATAATTTGAATAAGTATGAAGAAAAAATACAATTTTTCTTGCATAATTTCACTGATGAAAATATATCCCTATAAAATACACTGACAATCTAAATATTATTTTTTCTCAAAGTAAAGAAAATCATTTCAAAAGACTCCCACATTTTTTGTATGAAGATGAAGGAGTAGGACGCCACAATGTTTCTAAAAAATTATTTCCCTTTCAATCTGATTGATGTGATATAGAGTATTTTGTTGAATCCATATGCATCCAAATAACCCATCAGTCATTTGAAATCATAAATGAAATCTTTATTTTTTTCCAATTTTTGTCAGGTTGAACTTGTCATTGATACTGATTTCACAAAGAAATATCAAACACACAATACAGGAAATTGAAAAACATTCGAAGGTATATTTATCCTCAAAAGTAAATTCAAGTTTTGGGCGTTGGCAAGGTTACCAAAGTCTGCTTTGTATAAATTGTGGCAAATTTGTTCGAAATGCATCAGTTGTTAACGCAAACGAATCCACACAAAGCATCATGAACTCCTTGGTAAGTAATACAATGTCCAAAATGAATTCTAAGCATCCCAATTTCTTTTCTACTGTCGGTATTGATAATAATTCTCAAATTATCTCCCTTCAAACTGACTTTTATAGGGTTATTTATTGAAATCTCAAACACAATTACGACTTCATAAAAAAATCAAATGTAGGACACGTCAAGAGTCGTGGAATGGTGAGGTATCCCTGTTAACTACGATTTAATTTAAGTTTCATTGGAACTCATGTCTAGATTATTATTTTTTTCAACTCTTCTCAGAGAATCGTATAAAAATGTAGATATATATTCTCATTCATTTCTTGATCATGCGTAAATGTATGGCATTTCCAGTGCAACCATTTCAGTTTCATTATTGAAAATCCATATATCAGTTTTTAAATAAATAGTGAAAAATATCAAAACGGCATGGTTGAATGAACAAAATCGAAATTATTATTTTGATAATATAGAAATGATTATTATTGCATATACATACGGAATATGCCCACTGACACTGCAAATTATAGTCGATGAGAATGTCTTCAGAATAAAAACTTTTAGATTCGTTTTGTTGATACACAGTTGGTCAATAAAAATATGTAATAAAAGGATTGATTTATGTCTTCTGACAATGATACTCAATTTAATTGTTTTATTATTCAGAACAAAATGTTAATGTTTCCATGTGTTGTTTGTTCAAAAGGAATTTATTATTTGAAATATTATCAGTTGAATATACCTGTTGCCAGATAATTTCAGCAGGATACTTCAAATATTTGTTATGAATACATAAAATGAGTGACTCATAATTAACAAATATCAATAATGATACAACCTTATGTTCATATATTGAAATGAATTCCATTCAAAGTGTCCTTTTTTAATCTTCTCAAAAACCAAAATTCGACAATTTTGTACGTATTATGTAATGTTTTGTAGAATATGCTTGAACGATTGTAGACAATTGGTCCATTCTCAATTACACTATTTTTCTGCATATAAGCATATTCTGATTGTGCATTTCAGGCTATTGTAGCTTTCTTCGCCGCTTTGGCAGCTAGCAGCGCGTCAGTCATCGCTCCTTCAGCAAGGATCATCCAAGGACCGAGCGCCAGGGCCACAGTAGCTGGACCTGACGGCAGTATAATCTCTTCCGTAGCTCCAGGAGGACAAATCGTTGCCGAAGATTACTCAGGATATGTCGCTCATGCAGCTCCAGTAGTCGCCGCCCCCGTAGTGTCCGCCTATGCTTCCCTCCCTGCTTACACCGCATATTCCGCTCCTGTGATTTCTAGCTACTCTGCCCCCGTAGTGTCTGCCTATACCGCCCCCTCAGTAGTTGCCAGTGGTGTAGTTGCCCAAAAATCTGTTGACTCAGTAGTTGCTGGTCCATCCGGTACCATCGCTACCAGCAAGACTGTCGCTACCCCCGCTATATACGCCGCTCCAGCAGTATACGCCGCCCATGGAGTTCGTGGACTTTATCTTTGAGTGGTTTCGTTTGTAGATAGCTGAATTTTTGTAGAATAAAAGACTTTTGAGATTAATTTAACTTCATGTACTCATAGACCTTCCCTATCACTTTTTTCATTTCGAAACGATATTAGTTTTCTACAAAAGTTCAAAGAACTAACCTCACTGAAGTTCTCAATAATTCCACAAATTAATTGAGTTGCATATTGGTAGAATTTCAAAAACCGGCCAAATGTTTTCAGAATAATAATACATATAAAACAAGAGAGGACTGGGTTTCAGTATTACAGTGCTTTTTTTTATAGTCGCTCAACACTCTTTTTCGCTTGTGTTTATAAAACAGTAGATCCTTCGTCTTGTTTAACGTTTCAGTCTCAACCCTTAAAAATAACGTTTCTTCATTGACACGATATTTTGTGGTACAATGGAAGTCCGAACTGATGAAATACACCACGAAACATTGTCAACCACCTCCAAACAAAGTATTATGTAAATATGAAAAATTATTGCTTCCTGAGAGCTATCTTGGCGTGCGTTGCCTATAGCTTAGGAGTTACATGCAGATAATGTAATGTAAGATTGTTCATCACAAATAGTTCTAAAAAAAAGTCCACGATAGCATATATCTACCTCTTATGTGGTAGCTACTATATGCAAAATACTGAGCCATAGATACAATTCATTAGGATACATTTTTTTACAATGCATATTTTAGAATGTCTGTCGAGTTCTTATAAAAATTGATAAAATTGCCGTTTCGAATCTTTATTATGAATAAACTTTGTCTCACACTCTAAGTAATTTGGACGAATCGTTCAAACGTTATCACAATAAGATTAACTCGACGCAGCTCAGTAAAACATTACGCGTCGCGTCTACTATAAGACGACGGTGGACAATGCGCGGGGGTAGAGAGGCGGTGTAATCAATGAAGCGCCATCGCAGAGTACTCGACTCGAACGCGGGTAGACGCGTGAGGGCAGACGACGTTGACGGTTGTGTTAGTTTCAAGAATTTCTTTATAGGTAACAAAATACGATTCTAGAAGCTATTCAGTACTAAGTGCAGTTGGCATATTATTTTAGTAACTAAATTTGAAGAAAAAATATGAATTACTAGCTGTTGCCCGCTTTTATACCAACGTACAGCCGAAACTACTGTATCTAGAATCTTGAAATATGCAGGTAGGTTTTTTGTATAGCGTAAATAACCATCAAGAAAGGGTATCAGGAATTTCCACCCCCAAAGGTGAAAAATAGGGGTTTAAAGATTCTTTTGAGTTTCGTCAGTTTTTGAGTTGGAAACCTGATGTTTTGGGTAGATGAAAAAATATTGTGACTATTTGTTTAAAGTGGTATGTCACGAAACTTGATGTGAGAATCTAGAGAATGTCTTCGATAACATTCTTTTCAATATCATATACTTTTTTGCTCATGCCTTAGGACCTTAAAATGTTTTTATTCCTGTCAATTGTGGACACTATGAGAAATATATTTGTGAATACAGATATTCTTCCTCTGCATATCGAATTCTGAATCCTCTGTAGCATCCCTGTAGCAACTCTTCGAAATCTGTTTCTTCGTTAACCAGATGCCCATCCTTACGAACGACAACTCTCAGAAGTCTAAACTTATGCCAGTTGAGGATTACCGATGTCTTACCTTTCAATGTGTGATTCTGCCATTGGTTGAAGATACACTCTGGAAATCATTCGTCCGTTCGTCAGGCTCGAACCACCGTTTCATATATTGGTTGACTGAATTTGTAGAACAAACCGCACACGGTAACATACCGCCCCTCCTTATAACTGATACATGTATTACTGGCAGGTCCTGATTGTTTATGGTTTCATAATTGACCTCATTATTCGTACTTATCAGTCCACATGAAGTGTCAAATATATTATCTACATGAGGGATCCAAGTAAATAGAAAATAATTTTTAACACCTCCTTCAATAGCTCATCGAATTCATGTTATTCATATATATGTCGTTTCAGAAAATGACCAAACTGATGGCAACCATCAGACATTGCCAATATTTTCTTTGACATGTTCAAAAATATTTCTGGGTTCTCACTTGAAAATTTGAATGTATTCGTCTATGTCACTTCACCGCCATTATTCTGAATAGCAAGAAGTACAAATTTCATATTCTATACATTGCCATCACATCAAAAACATTAATTTGATAGTGATACCAGGCCGGTCAGTAGTTTTTCTTTTCAATCCCATGAGGTGTGTATGTCTACCTGATATTGCCTGCTTCTTGGAAAGCAATATACATAAAACCGTGTAATTTTAAAGCAATGAAAGGTTTGCATTTACAATGTGTAAAGTAGGAAAGTTCGATGAACTTAGTGACAATGACCTTGATTCTATGAACAAGGTTAGCTTTCAGTTCTTATTGCAATAATGGTTCACGCCGATGACAAATATCAATTTGGTAAACTTGCGATATGGGTACCATATCAAGAAATTTCCATATTATTCAGAGGATAATAAAATATCCATTCGTGTATTATATTCATATCATCATCATTAATTATCATCATAAATATTTCTTAATTTTGTCAATTTATCCCATAATGGTATTTCAACTTCCGAAAGATGATGAATATTTTTAATCTTGACGAGTATTCATGATGAATAATGAGCTCCTGGAGACTTATTTTGAATTCGTAACATTCTACAATTTGGAAAGCGCTATAAAATATTTGTAACTGTGATGAAAATGTGAGGTTTATGAGAAAATATGAAAAACCGATGTATGGAAACACTTTATTGTTAGATCATTATAAAAATAGTTCAATGAAGAATAAGATACTTTACTTCAGTCAATATTTTCTTCAGCAGAAGGAGATTATTCTCACTGATTTATTTCATAGTTAGATTAAAATATATTTCTTGATTTGTAATATCGAAATTTCAAAAAAAATTATCATTGAACTTTATGGCTTCCGTTAAAAAAGTACCAATAAGCACGATTATTAATTTTTTGGTGAAGATCTAAGAATCATTTCTTCGCGAAAGTTCAGGTTTAACCAATGAATAAAGCAGAGTGGGAATGGAAACAACAGGTTTAATTGAAATATTTTCTACAAATCTTCTCCATACCTACAAAATCAAATTTTATATACTCATTTCTCTTTTTAATGCATCAATTATTTCAGGGGGACTATTCGAACTGATGCCTGTCTCATAATTGTTGGTCTAATTTCCTATTTCGAAAAAACTCCTCCGATCCATTGATTTTTTTTAGAAAAGTAGCAAAAAATTGGTAATATTTAACAATTGAAGATTGATTTAGTGGATATATTTGTTTTCTACTTGTGAATTTCCAATATATCATCAATGTAATGATCACAATTAGCGGTAAATTGGTGTCGTGCTAGCGTGGCCGATTCTTGACTGAATAGTTCCAATCCGCCTTTTATCACATTTTTTTATGAATAAGACTAGGTCATTAAATTATTCAGTTGGTGTAAGTTATTGTTTCTATATAATAATAATAATAATATCGTCTTTATTATTTCATAACAAAAAATAAGAAACAGAAATTAACATAATTATATCCTTAACCTACGAAATGAAATAAAGGGCGAAGTTCATCGTCTGTAATGCAATGCATCACAGAAAATGTTCTTCCACTTAACCCTATATGGGAATGATCAAAGAGTACTTATCTATTTATTTTT